GCTCATTTATTTGGACCCTCCTTCGCGAGGGTGCAATGTTGTAATAAGGGTGCGTGCGTGTGTGCATGTCTTCCAACCCCACTTCTTTCTCCCTTTTATTTAAGCGATTTCGATGGTTTGTTTAGGGCATATTTCTATTAGCATACCTTATGCTCGCATGTGTGCATCATTCATTTGTATTGCATGCACCGGACTCTGCGCATCATTCAAACTGCATTGTATTTCAATACCTATTTGAATACGTGTATCAATTGTTGCATTCATATGCCATCTTAGATAGCTGAGCCTATTTAGTTGCATTATTGCATGTGTTGCACTAGGCGTTGTTAACATAGTTAGGATCATGCATTGTTTCAAACTAGTTTTCTCTTTTGGCTCAGAGTACACTGTAAGTATTACGCTTTAGCATACTTGCATGAGTGTGAGTGTTGCCATGTTAGCATGCTTGCAATGAGGCTATCTGCTTAAGTGCTTAACTGCATGAATGCCTGTGGGTGAAGGCATTGTTGCCTGAATTAGAACAACTCGATGATTGTGAGTTTTAAGCCCACTTCGCGAAGTGCCAAAACCTTGTTTTAAAGCCCATTTGACGGTGGCAAATCCGCGATTTAGCCCACTTGAGAGTAGCACTTTCAAACCATTTTCAAAAGCAAACATGAGTTGTTTTGTTCCAATTCTCGTGATTGAGTCTATACTTGTATGTTGTGCGTATCACATAGTAAAGTTAGCTAATAATCAGAATAAGAACACATGGTTCATAAAACAACATATCATGCTTAGTAGAGGCCGATCCACAGATCGGGCGAGCGAGGGTGCTCATTTTAGGACCTTCCCCTCTCGTACACAAGTTCCCGAGCCGAGGCAACTTTGGTGATGACGGACACGTGGCCTTTGGCGTGAGTCAGGGTTTCCTAAATTTCCAAAAAATAAAATATTTAGGTGGCGACTCTGGAATCTGGCAAAGCAGTCCAGTTTTGGCATTATTTGATTCAAAATCGATTTTCCAAAATGATTTGCCGGATTGGACTCTTTGGTATTTATCAGTCTCACATTGCACTTTGTGAGATTAGATTCAGAACCGTGACAGGAGTTCGAACTGTAGGACCGATTCGAGCTCTCCGATAGGGGAGCACAAAAAAAGTCAAGTCCACACCTCCCCTCTTATTTCCTTCAACTCCAAACCTATAAATAAGATGGTTTTAAATATTTTTCAAAGAGTTCACCTCTCTTTCATTTATTTCCACTTTGTCCTTGCTGGGTTTACTAAAAAGTGTAATATCTTAAACGAAATACGAGCCTCGAAACATCGTAGAAACATTTGAAAAAATATTTTGAAAAAGGGAGTTTTAAGGTCTAAAATAGTTTGGCCAAAATGCGGTGTATGGTTTGGGATTAGTGCTTGAATCCAAATTTCTTCGCTAAGAATTCAGAAGATTGCATAGTGTAACTTTCATCCTTAGGTGCTCAGAATGAAGCGCCCAGGTCTTAAGGGCGGTCAAAAATGTGGTTTCTACAATTACATATGTATTCATTGATCTGTGTGCAACGTATCCAGCATCAACGAGCTCAAAGTATCAACCATAACTCTATTCTAAATTGCTTTGAATAGGTGATTAAATCATGAATTTTATTGGATTTAACATTTATCGTCTCTATTAAGTATTGTATATTCTATAGCATATTCTCTACATAGATATGCCTTATTTGTGTAATGTAGTATACTCTCTGTGTATACTTATCTTCTCTCTTATATAAAGGAGTTTGTATTCATTGATTATTAAATTGAATACAAGAGTTTTCTTTTTTCTCTTCATTCCTCTCTCTTTATAATATCATAACATGGTATCAGAGCCAATGCTCTCTTCCTAAGTCACCTCCGACGCAGCACCTTTATTTTTTCGTTGTTCCAAACTGCCTCCAGTGCACCACGTTCTTCTTCCATTTTTTTCGCCTAAAATCCAAAATAACTGGCACAAAGACCTTTCTCATCACTCCATAAATCTGTCGCCACCAAACTGACACCAAAATCACTTTTAACGCGCTCTCACACGCCTTCAGAAGCCCCGATGCGTCATTTTTGGCATCACCATGCGCGAACATGCGCTTTAGGGCATTTGTTTAATCTGTCACGCACTCTCATGTGTGCATCTCAATCTTGTCCTGCTAACCACAGCGTGACGTCAACCCTACTGTTCAACCATCTGCCATCGTTTTCGTCAGTTGCTAACATGCAGCGCTCCTTCTCTGCTACACTATGCTACGCCTTAGTCATGCTAACATGAGCCGCGCCTCTGCTGACATCAGCTTCCCTCTTGCTGACGTCAACCATGCACCTTGCTTGGCCAAAATTCAATTTTTGGCTTGTTTCGCCTATTTTCTACACCTTTTCTGATCATTTTGGCCTGGTATGTAACTATTTTTGACATTCCAGATTCACTAGTGCACTCTATTTTATCTAGTTCTACTCCGCTATCACTGGTTCCCCATTGTGATTCATTATTTAATCATCTCATGGCTCGTTCAGAGAGTTATCCTAAGCACGATAGCTATTCTGGGCCCTCCACAATATACAGCCGAGATCAGTCTTCAGCACACTTTGCATCTACTACAGTTGCCTCTGGTTCATCATCTGTAGTTACCTCGTCACCACCCTACACTCTTCAGGACATTGAAGCTATTGTAAAAAAGGTTATTTCTACCTCTGGTACACCCTCTACTGTCCTCTCAATTGCTCCAGGTACCTCTTCTTAGTATTTTGATTCCGTTTGTTGCAACCATATGACCTCTGACCCTACACTTTTCTCTTCTATTATATTTTCTTCTACATTGCCTGTTATTCACACTGTTGATGGCTCTCAAATGCATGTTAGTCATATAGGTCATATTTTCACCTCTACTGTTTCTTTACCCACACTTATCTGATCCCCAATCTTACACTTAATCTTGTTTCAATTGGTTAACTCTGTGATCTTGGCCTTACCGTTCTCTTTTCTCTAACTGGTTATGTTGTGCAGGATCCGAAGACGGTACAGACTCTTGGGATCGGTCGTAGACATGGACGTCTGTATGAGCTCATCCATCTTCGCATTCCCTTCTCTAGTCCTTCCACTGTCCAGACTGCTGCTCCTACTACTCCTAGTTCTCCTCTTGCCTTACGACATTCTCGGTTAGGTCATGTTTCTTTTGGACGTTTATGATCTCTAGTTTCCAACGGTCAGTTAGGTCCTGATCCTAATGATAAAGTGGATTGTCTATCTTGTCAACTAGCAAAACAATCTGCTTTGCCATTTCTATGTAGTACTTCTATGTCTCATGCAGCCTTTGATCTCATACACTCTGATATTTGGGGGCCGGCACCTAATCCCACTATAGGGGGATCTAAATACTTTGTCATTTTTGTAGATGATTTCACTCGTTTTACTTGGTTATTTTTTATGAAGTCTCGCTCTGAGTTACCACAAATATACTATGATTTCTCATAAATGGTCAAAACTCAGTTTTTTTCCACCATCAAAGTTTTCTGTGCTGATAATGCTGAAGAATACAAAGAAATAAATTTTTTGAGATTCCTTCATCAAAATGGCACACTTTCTCACTATTCTTGTCTTGGTACCTCCCAACAAAATGGTTATGCTGAGTGTAAACATTGCCATCTTTTAGATACTATCCGTGCTCTTTTAATCTCCTCTTCTTGTCCTAAGCGCTTCTAGAGGGAAGCCGCTCTCACAACTGCCTATACTATCAACCGTATTCCTTCTCCTGCCATCAATAATCACACCCCATATGAGCGCTTATATGGCCAACCTCCTGTCTATTCTCGTCTCCGTGTGTTTGGATGTACTTGTTTTGTCCTGCGTCAACCACATGAGCGTTCCAAATTAGAACCTCGAGCCCATCCGTGTTGCTTCTTGGGATATGGGATTCAACATAAAGGCTATCATTATTAGGATCCTATTTCTTAACGTCTTCATGTCTCTCATCATGTGGTATTTTGGGAAGTCAAGATGTTCTATTCCATATCTAAGTTTTAGTTGTTCACTTCTCCTACTACGTCATTCTTCACAGATCCCTATCTTTTGTTTGATGAGATTGATACAGACACTACTTCTGCCATGCTGCCTCCAGCCTATCTTGAGGATCCTGCTTTGCCTCCTAGTCCTACTAATGCTCCACTCCATGATTCTGCTCCTAGTCCTGTAATGCTGCCTCTGGCCCATCCTGAGGATCCTACTTTGCCTCCAAGTCTTGCTTCTGAGATACCTCTTCATCATTCTACTCGAGTAATGCATCCTTCTGTCCTTCTTCATGATTTCATTATTGGTTCTACTGCATTTTCCTCTCATGAACCTACTTCCTATCGAGAGGCTTGTTCTAACCCTCTTTGGCAGCAAGCTATGACTGATGAACTACAGGCTTTTGATAAAACTCATACTTGGGATGTGGTTGATCTTCCTCCTAGCAAAAGTTTTGTTAGTTACAAATGGGTTCACAAGCTCAAGACTCATTCTAATTGTTCTATTGAGCATTACAAAGCTCTTCTTGTTGCCCAGGGGTTTACTCGAGAATATGGAATTGACTATGAAGATACCTTTTCTCTTGTTGCCCGTCTGACTTTTGTTCGAAGCTTACTTGCCCTTGTTGTTGCTCGCCACTAGAAACTTTATCAGATAGATGTGAAGAATGCATTTCTCAATGGAGATCTCACTGAGAAAGTTTATATGCAACCTCCTCCTGGTTCCACTGTTCCACCCTCCAAAGTCTGCAAATTTTGCCGTGCTTTGTATGGTTTGAAACAAGCTTCTTGTGCCTGGTTCGCCAAGTCCAGCTCCCCCATTCATGATTTTGGATTCTCCTCCAATGCCTATGATTATTCCCTTTTCATTCGTAAGACAAAGCGTGGTACTATTCTTTTTTTTCTCTATGTGGATGATATGATCATCACTGGGGATAACACAATGGGTATCTCTAGTCTCAAACAGTTTCTCAGTCACTAGTTTGAGATGAAGGATTTGGGTCTTCTCAGCTATTTTCTCAGTTCGGAAATCTCTCATGATCCGTTTGGTTACTTTCTCTCCCAGGCCAAGTATACTTCTGATCTCTTGGCTCGTGCTGGTCTTACCGATTGCAAGACTGCCTCTACTCCTGTTGATCCTCAGACTCGTCATACATCTCTTGATGGTTACTTGTTGTCTAATGCTACTTTATATCACCAGCCAGTTGGCAGTCTTATCTATCTCACGGTTACTCGTCCAGAAATTGCTTATGCTGTTCACATTGTTAGTTAGTTCATGGTTGCTCTTCGCTCTCTGCACTATGATGCTCTAGTTTGCATTTTATGTTATCTCAAAGGCACTATGTTTCGCCGTCTTCACTACTCCACTCACTTTTCTCTACAGTTACACGCATTTTCTAATGCTGATTGGACAGGGGACCCTACTAATCGTCACTCTACTACAGGGTTCTACTTCTTCTTGGGTTACTCTCTCATTATCTGGCGTAGCAAGAAGCAAACTCTTAATGCTCGTTTTAGTACTGAAGCTAAATACTGTGCTCTTGCTGACACTACTCAAGAGCTTGTGTGGCTTCATTAGCTTCTTTCTGATATAGGAATTCCTCATCCTGTTGCCACTAACCTCTATTGTGACAATCAGAGTGTTATTCAAATTGCCCATAATGATGTCTTTCATGATTGCACCAAGCATATTGAGAGCGATTGTCACTTCATACGACAACATGTTATTAGTGGCACTATTCGTCTTATCTTTGTTCCCTCCGCTAATCAGATAGCTGACATCTTCACCAAGGCTTATCCTCTAGGATGATTTTCTGATTTACTTTACAAGCTCAACTTGATATGTGCATCACCACCTTGAGCTCGAGGGGGAGGGGGAGGGGGATGTTAACTATAGTATATTTTATAGCATATTCTTTGTATATGCATGCCTTATCTATGTAGTACAATATATTCTCTATATATACTTATCTTCTCTCCTATATAAAGGAGTTTGTACTATTCATTGATTATTAAATTGAATACAAGAGTTTTCTCTTTTCTCTTCATTCCTCTCTCTTTGTAATATCATAACAGTCTTATACCAATTATTGGTGTACTCATGCATGCTACAAGCGTCGGAGAAAGATTTGTGGATTGGACTAGATTAACTTGAAACATTCTAAAGCTATGATTCAGCTCGAAATTCTACCATGTGTTGTTTGTTGACATATTGGGGTAATTAAAGTTTCCAAAAGCCTTGTCATCTACATACTAGGTAGACTAAAACGCTATGACCTCATAAAATTTATGGATAGACTTTACAAATTAACTAGAGAGTTCAAATCAACTCAACATAGCTCAAAAAGATGAAGATATTATTTCGGTTAGCTATTTAAGTCCTGCTCTGCCCATTGCCACTCTATCTGCAGCCACAATCTCTGTCACTAATGCCTTGGCACAAAAGATGGGAGCCTTCTTGTGTTTGACTCAACAATCCCATTTCGAAATAAGGTTGAAGCAATTACAGTTTGGAGCGAATTATTTTTCAAGCTTAAGATTTTCTTTCCCTCACCAAGTGAATAGATGATAGTAATAAACTATCAAGAATGAAATCTTATAAAGCCAACCCAGTAACTCTGCAACTACCAAGAGAAGAATTACCAGAAGAATAATATGTCAATAGAACTTAAAGGAGCTAAGCACACACCTATTAGACATTCTCCCATTTTGACTGCCAAAACATGTGGTAGAGGCTTCTAGTTGATAAAGGTTTCCTGTTTCTTCATTCAATTTCTACCAAGACAAAGCTTTGAAATGAGGAGAGCAAAAACCACAATAGCACAAAAAAGCGAAATAACCTTTGAAAAACATTCATACCACTCGATCCTTATACTCACATCAATAGAAGGGTTAAAACTTTGAAATGACATCCGACCTTTTATTGCCCCTGGATAGGGATCACCTTCTACAATCACTTTCATGTATACCGAGATAGCCATGGAAATTGGTTGGAATAAGGCATCATTGATAATATTAATAATTTCAATTATAGTGAAATTTAATGACTTCTATTGACAGAATGGATTTAGATACACAACTCTTAACAAGAAGAGGACAAAAAATTAAGACATGCCAAAACAAAATTAGTTGGTGTTAATGGTATTGAAGTGATCTCAATCTTGGCAGCGGTGGATTTGATTGAAGAATATGAAATGCATCAATAAACAACAAGCAATGCTCAAAAGTATCCCCAAAAACACAAAAAAAAAAAAAAAAAACAAAAACAAAAATAGTAGAAAGAATATATTGAAGCAGTATAAGTAATTGCATGGTCCAAAAGCCATTACAGGCACTATCAAGTTTGTTAACTAGTAGGAAACAAACAGTGTATTGGTGAAAATACCAGAAGAATTATATTTTATTGATAAATAATGCAAAGAAATGAGATACAAATAGATCAGACAGAGGCATGAATATCTCATTTTTTTTAAGGAGATCAAGCCCATTGCGGTAGGAAGAACTCAACTACCGATGCAGCAATCACTAAACTATGACTTGTCCCCTCCAAGATACAACAGTCCGACCACTTGTCATATAGTTTAGGCCAACTCTGCATAAGATGGTGAACCCAAAGCTCCACCAAGAAAAACACCCTTATTTGGCTAGTAATCTCTCCAAGTGTAAAAATAGTTAGTCTAGAAAATAGTAGATGAGAGGAACAATTTATAGACCACTAGGACCTTACAAATTACACCAAAAAATAATGACCACTAAACTAGAGAAAAGGGAAAGTCCCAAAACCTCCAACTATTAACTAACCACCAAGCCCATGACCTTCCAATTAATCTCCATTCATGAACAAAACAAAAGATTATCAAAAAAAAAATAATAATAATAAGATTCAAGAATAAGATAAAAGGTGTGATGATCGGGTCTTTGTTTCCTCTCTTTTTCTTCTTATTCTCCTTCACTCCGTTCTATTGCTCTCATTGAGTTTGAAAAGTTCAGAAAATTTGTTTCAAATAAAGTTCTTATTCTTGTTTTGTTCGGTGATTGAATTTCACCCATTTCAGAGAGGGCGCGGTCAAGTCCGGGGTGCTCGAGGGCCGAACATGAGAATTTTGGTCTGCTGGGCCAGGGCCGCACGTGCGGGAAGAAGGGTTTTTCAGTGGGTTGCATTCTACAAAAAAAGCATGTGCGTAAGGAGTTGCGGGGAGGTGCCGCACAAGCAGGAGTGATGGCGGCACGTGCGGGAAGCACTTGCCGTACGTGCGAAAGTAGGCTCCGCACGTGCGGAAAAGCCCAGATCCAAGGCTCTGTTTTTATTTCTCTTTTTGGCCGAATTGTATCTCATTTTTGGGTCCCTCCCTCTCTCTCTAAACCTTATTTTCTCCTCATTCTCTCTAGAAATCCTCACCAAAACACAAAAATACTTTGGTTCATGCAAATCTTGAGTTAAGATCATCATCTTTTTCTTCTAATTTTGAAGATCAAACTAGAGCTCCTTTTGGTGTTGTGGAAAGTTGAAGGATCTTTCATCAAAGCTAGGGTTTCATCTTCTCTCTCTTCATCAAGCTTGAGGTAGGGACATTCTTGAGTTATATATACATGCTTTGCAAAGTTTAATGTTGATTTTATGTTTATCTTGGTTCCATTATGAAATTTTAGTTTTTGTTTCAAAGTGATGAAATTTTTTCAAAATGAGGGTTTAAACTTTAAATGTTCTAAGTTGATCGTTAAAGCCTTTTACCTATATTATAAGAAAAATGATTTTGATGAGCTTTCACATGAAAATGGGAGGTGTTTTGGGTTTTGAGAAAGAACCCTAGAAATTGGGGGTTTTTGAAAATATAAGACAAACTATGAAATTCTTCTTCTTGTTGTGTTTAATTAAGTAAATGAGTGTGGATTTCGCAATGTGGTATAAAGATATGATAATTTTCTTGATATAAAAGAGTGGAGGACTTATTTTTTAAACCATTGTTGAATGTATGGAAATATTTAAGTGGAAGATGATAATTGTTGTGCATTATGGATTGTGAGAATTAATGTTGAAAAACATTACATGTTGTATTGATGAGACTATATTGCTAAGAATTGTGAAAAGTGAAATTGTGGCTAAGTGTAGATAACATATGGTTATCTTGGGAAAGAGTAATGAAAAGAGGTAATGGAAAAATGTGATTGTTGATGTTATTGTAGAGACTTTGAAAATGAGAAATTGTTTATGAAGTTATTATATACTACATGAGCATGTAAGATTGAGGAATGGGAAATTGGTATGTGCCATGGATTGCGGGAATTGCTATGAGTTGAAGGTATATATGTTATGTTGTAAAATAACATTGAAGAAAGAAAATGAGAAAATCTATTTATTCAATATCGTTGCCATGTTACTTGAATGGAGAAATGTTATGAGTTGTGGAAAATCATTGCATTGCATATTCATTCAATTATCATTTTTGGCATTGTAAATTCTGATTGAAGATATTTATTTCATAAAAGAAAATAACGTGGTGATATGATTTATGGAAATATGAAAGGGGTAAATACGGTGGTAAGTCCGGTTAGGGGGTGTAGATGAATCTTGTTAAGTTGACCTGAGTGTCCATGGTGAAAGACCAGAAAACCGCGTAGATAGGTGTCAAGCCTTTCGGTTAATACCGGTAAAAATGACAGTTTGGTAGAACTCGTAGAGTCTACTTGCAGACACCAGCCTAGGGATTACCAGTGCTGTATTTACCACCCCTATTGATTAAAACTGGAAGTTTGAAATGTGTTGAGATTGCAAGTCTTTAATTGAGAATTCGAAATCTTCAAAAGAGCATGAAATGATATTTTCCCTAGAAGAGCATGGCATAGCATTGACATTTGCATTTTTATTGAGAATTGCATAACTGTATATACTTTGTTAGAATTCTCTACTAGGCTTTATGCTCACCCCTATGGGATTTGGTGCAGGTAAAGATGCGGTGATCCCGCCGAACTAAGGGCGTGAATATTTTTTTGTGAAGAGTAAATAGCTCTTTTATTTTTTGTGGTGAATTTTGTAAAGCCAAGGGCTAATGTGTGTGGGTCCGAGAGACCATTTTAAGTAATCGGGCTATTGCCTTGGAAGATGTAAGCCCCTAAAAGCATTTATTTGTTTTCGAGATTTGATATTTCTCATGCCGTAGATTCATGTATTCATTTATGTTGTGAATGTATGCCGTGTATGGGGCTTTTCTATTAAACTCATTTGTTATATACGTAGGTAGATGGAAGGATCATTGCCATTGTTTAGTGAATATTTATTAATGTGAGTAGCTCGTGTTGAATTATTTTCAGGGTGTTACAAAAGGTCACCAAAAAAATTAAATAAATAAATAAAAGATATTATAATGGTCCAACACAGTGACTCATGACAATCTATATCATGCAAGTTACTACAACATGATGTGTAGTACCAAAAAGAAAAGAGAAAAAAAAAACAGATAATAAGAAGGGAAGAAAAAAGAGTAAGGAAAGAAACGAGAAAGAAAAATATTAGACCGGGGGGGAGAGAAAGAATTGTCTGAGAGAAGCGAGAGGTATGCTAAGTCCTGGTAATTCAATATT